TGGACCAGGTGTTTACAGTGAAACATATAAGTGAACAGTATTTAGATAAGGCTAAAGAGGTCTTTCTGGCATTTATGGATTTTTAAAAGCGTATGACAGGGTGGATAGGGGGCAATGTGGCAGATGTTGCAGGTGTATGGTGTAGGAGGTAGGGTTTCTGAAAGCAGTGAAGAGTTTTTACGAGGATAGTGAGGCTCAAGTAAAAGTATGTAGGAAAGGGGAATTATTTCCCAGTTAAAAGTAGGCCTTAAGACAAGGATGTGTGATGTCACCGTGGTTGTTTAATATATTTATAGATGGGGTTGTAAGAGAAGTAAATGCGAGGGTCTTGACAAGAGGCGTGGAGTTAAAAGATAAAGAATCACACAAAGTGGGAGTTGTCACAGTGCTCTTTGCTGATTGACCCCTGTGCTCTTGGGAGATTCTGAAGAGAAGTTGCAGAGATTGGTGGAGAATTTTGGTAGGGTGTGCAAAAAAAGAAAATTAAAAAATGAATCAGGAAAGAGTAAGGTTATGAGGATAACAAAAAAATTAGGTGTGAAGAGATTGGATATCAGATTGGAGGGAGAGTGTAATGGAGGAGGTGAATGTATTCAGATATTTGGGAGGGACGTGTCAGCGGATGGGTCTATGAGGATGAGGTGAATCATAGAATTGATGAGGGGAAAAAGGGTGAGTGGTGCACTTAGGAGTCTGTGGAGACAAAGAACTTTGTCCTAGGAGGCAAAGAGGGGAATATATGAGAGTATAGTTTTACCAACACTCTTATATGGGTGTGAAGCATGGGTGATGAATGTTTGCAGCGAGGAGAAGGCTGGAGGCAGTGGAGATGTCATGTCTGAGGGCAATGTGTGGTGTGAATATAATGCAGAGAATTCGTAGTTTGGAAGTTAGGGGGTGGTGCGGGATTACCAAAACTCTTGTCCAGGGGGCTGAGGAAGGGTTGTTGAGGTGGTTCAGACATGTAGAGAGAATGGAGCAAAACAGAATGACTTCAAGAGTGTATTTAGTCTAATAGTGGAAGGAAGGGGGGTAGGGGTCGGCCTAGGAAAGGTTGGAGGGAGGGGGTAAAGGAGGTTTTGTGTGCGAGGGGCTTGGACTTCCAGCAGGCGTTTCGTGAGCGTGTTTGATAGGAGTGAAAGGAGACGAATGGTTTTTAATACTTGACGTGCTGTTGGAGTGTGAGCAAAGTAACATTTATGAAGGGGTTCAGGGAAACCGGCAGGCCGGACTCGAGTCCTGGAGATGGGAAGTACAGTGCCTGCACTCTGAAGGAGGGGTGTTAATGTTGCAGTTTAAAAACTGTAGTGTAAAGCACCCTTCTGGCAAGACAGTGATGGAGTGAATGATGGTGAAAGTTTTTCTTTTTCGGGCCACCCTGCCTTGGTGGGAATCGGCCAATGTGATAATAAAAATATAATGTAAAAGAAGAAAATTAAAAGTGAATACAGGAAAGAGTAAGGTTACGAGGATAAAAAGATTAGGCGATGAAAGATTGGATATCAGATTGGAGGGAGAGAGTATGGGGGAGGTGAATGTATTCAGATATTTGGGAGTGGACGTGTTAGCAGATGGGTCTATGAAAGATGAGGTGAATCATAGAATTGATGAGGGGAAAAGGGTGAGTGGTGCACTTAGGAGTCTGTGGAGACCAAGAACTTTGTCCTTGGAGGCAAAGAGGGGAATGTATGAGGTGATGAATGTTACAGCGAGAAGGCTGGAGGCAGTGGAGATGTCATGTCTGAGGGCAATGTGTGTGGTGTGAATATAATGCAGAGAATTCGTAGTTTGGAAGTTAGGAGGAGGTGCGGGATTGCCTAAACTGTTGTCTAGAGGGCTGAGGAAGGGTTGTTGAGGCGTTTCAGACATGTAGAGAGAATGGAGCGCAACAGAATGACTTCAAGAGTGTATCAGTCTGTAGTGAAAGGAAGGCGGGTTAGGGGTCGGCCTAGGAAAGGTTGGAGGGAGGGGGTAAAGGTGGTTTTGTGTGCGAGGGGCTTGGACTTCCAGCGGGCATACATGAGCGTGTTTGATAGGAGTGAATGGAGACAAATAGTTTTTAATACTTGATGTGCTGTTGGAGTGTGAGCAAAGTGGCATTTATGAAGGGATTTAGGGAAACCGGCAGGCCGGACTTGAGTCCTGGAGATGGGAAGTACAGTGCCTGCACTCTGAAGGAGGGGTGTTAGTGTTGCAGTTTAAAAACTGTAGTGTAAAGCACCCTTCTGGCAAGACAGTGATGGAGTGAGTGATGGTGAAAGTTTTTCTTTTTCGGGCCACTCTGCCTTGGTGGGAATCGGCCAGTGTGCTAATAAAATAATAAATATAAAACATGAAATAACTTTACAACACTTGAAATTCGGGAAAGTTTCCAGACATAATGGAGAGACGCGGTGCTCACAGGGCTCACGGAGAATGTAAACAAACCGGGTGGTGCGTGGTGAACGTATTAGTCAGGTGGGGGGAGCCGATAGCGAGTTTTGCTCATAATTTGAATGTCCGTATTAGTGGAATGCCGTGAGGCGAAACACCGTAAAGCTGGGGGCCCTACCATATTATTAGTAGTAATACACCTACCATCCAACTTATGATCTGCTCGACATACAACCACTCGACTTACGATCATGATTTTTATGCCAAATTTCTGGGAAATAAACAACTGTTTGTGTTGTACAGTGTTTATCCTAAGCCTTACAGAATACAGTACTAACAGCATAAAAAGTAAAATAAAAATTGAAATACCAAAATAAAATAAAATCTTTACAAAAGTGTGATGTTGATATTCAGTAGTAAGGTTCACTTACGTCCATTTACTTATGACCAGTTGGTTGGAACCAATCTTGGTCATCAGTCGGATGGTACCTGTAGTCAAGTGTAAGGACAAGAAAAAAGCAGCACTGCAGGAGAGCTAATGGCCCACAAGGGTTGGACCAAAAATACGGGGAAAAAAACTGAAGGACAGAACACACCTAGGCAGAAGAAAGGAAAGAAATAGTATAGGAAAGGAGAAGAGGTAGGGATAAGAGAACAAAAGATCAGGTCAAGTCATGAGAGTTCTGAAGTGTGAGCATTGACAATGTAATGAGAATGGAAGGCATCTAGAGACAAAGCCAGGACTAAGAGTCATATTAGGAAAGTTATGTATAAGGGATGCTTCAACAAGATGGCATTGTGCAGGTTATTTGTGTAATGCACATTATCAGTATGCCATCAATAAATGTGTGCATGACCAGCAGTGCTAGGTAGTCTTCACCTCTGCATTGTTCTCAAAATAACAAACTTTCTGCCACTGATCCAGCAGCCATTTTAAATCCTGTTTTTTTAAGTGTATATTCATTATTATTAGAGCATATTCACAACAAATTGCTGAACCCAAATTTTTTTACAACCTTAAAACCCTGACCTGACTCTAAAATAGAATTTTAAATATTTTTAGAAATTTTATCATAAGCCAGGTTGTGGTGCCTAAGTCAGACTTTAGGGGCAAGCACCAAACCTGTAGGGGTCAACCAGTGCTTGGGAAAATGGAAGGTACTGTAATCAGGTTTGATGCAAGGAGAGTACAACCCTAATTTTGCAGGTCAAAATCCCTTCAACATCAACAAGGATGTCCAGGTCATAACTGAGACAGGACCACAGTTCCAGTGATCCCCTAAAGCAGTGATTCCCAAAGTGGGCGGAAGAAAGATCTAGGGGGGCGCCGAGAAAAGAGAGGGTTGTAGGGGGCGGTAGAGTGGCATCAGAACCAAGGGAGCATTTTTATAAAATCTACATGTCAATAAGTCATGAACACTTGACACAAATGCTTTACAAAGAATAAAATTAACAGTTATACACGAAAGCACGTTTCTATTAATTTTTTAAAACAATTGTTGAATTCTACCAAGACTCTAATTCTGTTCTATGTGATGACATAAGAAACATCAAGCATGACATTGCTTATTTGTCAGATGTATTCACAAAGATCAATAAAGTTAATCTTACCAAAGTCAAATCAGCCCTTTCCACTTTTCTATGTTACAGTTATTCAAATGTAACACAGCCTGTCGTGAATTCTTCCAGTTTCCGAGCCTCCCTGAACTGGAGAAAAGCACACCAGATGATGACCGTCAAGTGTATTGTGCACACCTGAACGAGCTGCATAGACATGTTTGAGAGATTTCAGGATCTTTTGCTTAAAATGTATATGTGAGGGGATACTAGGGATGTGGCCTGGGAACCAAGGAGGAAGCAGCCTGAAAAAGTTTGAGAACTGCCCTACAGCATTACCAGGTATGTATCCAGACAAGTTGACTTGCCCATAATGGCCAAACTAGTATTAAAACATTTGGTAAGCATTTTCACATACCACACTGTATTCCTTAAATTTAGGACACTTTGTTTATTGGCATTTTAAATGTTTGAATGTTTATAATCTAAGCCAACAATTACAAAGGCAATTTTCCTTTATAAAAAGCCATATCTAGGGTAAAATGAAGTTAAAAAGCCATTTTAAATTTAGTTAAATTATTTCATATGCATATTTCCTAGGTAGTAGGTTGGTAGACAGCAACCACCCAGGGAGGTACTACCATCCTGCCAAGTGAGCATGAAACAGAAACCTGTAATTGTTTTACATAATGGTAGGATTGCTGGTATCTTTTACTGTCTCATAAACTTGCAGGATACCAAGTATATCTTGCTACTTCTACTTGCACTTAGGTCACACTACACATGCTTGTACATGCATATATATCCATACCCTTCTGGGTTTTCTTCTATTTTCTTAATAGTTCTTCTTTATTTCCTCTCATCTCTATGGAAAGCAGAACAGAATTTTTCCTCTGTAAGCCATTGTGTTGTAAGAGGCAACTAAAAATGCCAGGAACCCTTTCTCCTTTATAAATTACTAAATTTAAAAAGAGAAACTTATTTTTCTTTTTAGGCCACCCTGCCTTGGTGGGATATGGCCAGTTTCATGAAAAAAATACAAATTAATGCCTTGGTAAACTAAAACCACATTATACCAATATAAGTTTATTAAGTGAAAACCACAGATAGCAGCACTTGCATCTTGAGGTCACAGTGACCTGTGTGCTACATTACTCTTGTAACCTCACCTCTGTCTTGAAATACACAAAATATATAGTATAGTAACAACTGTAATACATTTCAAAGTAACAAAATTATAACAAACACTTCAAATTTCTTTTCCACATTCATGTCATTTAAATAGCCCCTGACAATCCCTGGATTAAAGGTGTGCCATCCAAACCGACGAGAGAGATAGGTGAAGATACCACCGGGTAAGAAAAAAAAATATAAAATTTTTAGTAATAATATTAATAATAACAACATTAATAATCATTAAATCTGGGGCATAGCTGCTGAGTATAATAAAGTTTGCTTCAGTGTTTCACAGAGGGACACCTTCAACCCAGGGGCTGATAATGGTGTACATTTGGGAAGACTGGCAGAAGGACTTCTCAGGCGAATGTTTCCAATTAGCGTTGGCCAGGTTCAGGTAAAGGGTCGTCAACGTGCAGCAAGACAGTGAGGAAGATCCAATTTGTGATGTTGTGTTGTTCCCACTACCTGGTACTTTCAGAAGCTTGGTGGGGCTCCTACAATGGTGGTGGCATATTAAGTCCAGGTGATGTGTGTGTTAGTGTCCCCTTTAATTTAATATTAACTTAGGGTTCAACCTAGTACAGTTTTAACTTAAAATACCCTAAAAAAAAAAAAACAACCACACAGCATCATGTAATAAACATACTAGACAGAGATGATCCCCCAATCAATCTGCCCAGTGTATAGGAGAGTAGTAACTTTGCTACATATAGCTAAATTCTTTGTCCCTACACCATGTACATGTAAAACAACTGGCATCCAGTTAATCCTAGGGTTTAAGTCAACGTAAAAAATAATACCAGCAAAACCTGTATAGTATATTTCAAAATATTCATTAGAATTTAAAAACAGGTAAAACTTTGTGGAGTAATTAAATTCTAAAAGAGTTTGCAGATTAAAGTTTATCAAGCAATTGTGAATTGAATGCTCAGTATAATTGTAAAAATTCTATGCATAGATAATATAATATGAGCGAGCCACTGATAGGATGCATAACAGTGAAGTGGGGGTACAGAGGCTGTAGTAGATTTGGGAAAGCCACTACCCCCTTATCGCCGGGGCCCCCAGATGGCCGGGGCAGTATGAGCCACAGTTGGTGCCCCCATGGATGGGAAGTCTTCTGACGAGTCCATGTTTGGAGCTTCCTGGGTCCATGGGGCACCACTTACCACGAATCCTTGCTGTAAAGAAATAAAAAATACCTACTGAAAAATAGTCTTCCCACTGAAATTAATGACCATTAAAAAATGGAATAATATAGTAGAACCATACTTCACAACTGAGCAGGTGTTTTTGTTATTGTAATCTTGTGTTATTGTAATCTTGTATTGCAATCTTGTGCAGGTGTGTGTGTGTATACTCACCTAGTTGTACTCGCCTAGTTGAGGTTGCGGGGGTCGAGTCCGAGCTCCTGGCCCCGCCTTTTCACTGATCGCTACTAGGTCACTCTCCCTGAGCCGTGAGCTTTATCATACCTCTGCTTAAAGCTATGTATGGATCCTGCCTCCACTACATCGCTTCCCAAACTATTCCACTTACTGACTACTCTGTGGCTGAAGAAGTACTTCCTAACATCCCTGTGATTCATCTGTGTCTTCAACTTCCAACTGTGTCCCCTTGTTACTGTGTCCAATCTCTGGAACATCCTGTCTTTGTCCACCTTGTCAATTCCTCTCAGTATTTTGTATGTCGTTATCATGTCCCCCCTCTCTCTCCTGTCCTCCAGTGTCGTCAGGTTGATTTCCCTTAACCTCTTCCTCGTAGGACATACCTCTTAGCTCTGGGACTAGTCTTGTTGCAAACCTTTGCACTTTCTCTAGTTTCTTTACGTGCTTGGCTAGGTGTGGGTTCCAAACTGATGCCGCATACTCCAATATGGGCCTAACGTACACGGTGTACAGGGTCCTAAATGATTCCTTATTAAGATGTCGGAATGCTGTTCTGAGGTTTGCTAGGCGCCCATATGCTGCAGCAGTTATTTGGTTGATGTGCGCTTCAGGAGATGTGCCTGGTGTTATACTCACCCCAAGATCTTTTTCCTTGAGTGAGGTTTGTAGTCTCTGGCCCCCTAGACTGTACTCCGTCTGCGGTCTTCTTTGCCCTTCCCCAATCTTCATGACTTTGCACTTGGTGGGATTGAACTCCAGGAGCCAATTGCTGGACCAGGTCTGCAGCCTGTCCAGATCCCTTTGTAGTTCTGCCTGGTCTTCGATCGAGTGAATTATTCTCATCAACTTCATGTCATCTGCAAACAGGGACACCTTGGAGTCTATTCCTTCCGTCATGTCGTTCACAAATACTAGAAACAGCACTGGTCCTAGGACTGACCCCTGTGGGACCCCGCTGGTCGCAGGTGCCCACTCTGACACCTCGCCACGTACCATGATTCGCTGCTGTCTTCCTGACAAGTATTCCCTGATCCATTGTAGTGCCTTCCCTGTTATCCCTGCTTGGTCCTCCAGTTTTTGCACCAATCTCTGTGGAACTGTGTCAAACGCCTTCTTGCAGTCCAAGAAAATGCAATCCACCCACCCCTCTCTCTCTTGTCTTACTGCTGTCACCATGTCATAGAACTCCAGTAGGTTTGTGACACAGGATTTCCCGTCCCTGAAACCATGTTGGCTGCTGTTGATGAGATCGTTCCTTTCTAGGTGTTCACCATCTTCTCCTGATAATCTTCTCCATGATTTTGCATACTATAATGTCAGTGACACTGGTCTGTAGTTTAATGCTTCATGTCTGTCTCCTTTTTTAAAGATTGGGACTACATTTGCCGTCTTCCATGCCTCAGGGAATCTCCCTGTTTCGATAGATGTATTGAATTTGTTAGGGGGACACATAGGCCCTTTCCCCCTCTCTCAATACCCCTGGGGGGGAAAGTTATCTGGCCCCATTGCCTTTGA